TAACCTGGGTTTCAGAGTCATTGTGAAGAGGGAGTATGTCGACTTGTAGCTTTTTGCCTAAACTTGGGGTCACCACGGTTTGTACTGCTATTTCGATAACGCTTTGTGCTTGTATTGGATCCGTCTGCATGATTACGTTAGCACATTCAGGATAGATTGTGACCTGCAGCTTTTTACCGAATAAAATAGGGCTAGAGGTCTGAGTAGAAGTTGAGGTTCTCAAGGCATGATAAATCAGGTTCTGACAAAAAGCATCTGAGAAAGTAGGAAGGATAGTCTGACATGAAGCTTCAATAATTTCTGCAGGAGGGAAGCTCTGAGTCACTATATTATCAGCGATCAAAACTGGTTCCGTCTCAAGGATGAGACAGCACGTGGCATCCACTTCCTTTGTAGCCTTAATTGACTGCAAAGCAACTGACTTAGTTTCGACGGCATACTCAGCCTGAGACCCAAAATGCGTCATCTGCTTCCCCACTTGGGTCTGAACTTCAAGCGTGTGCGGCTTTAAGTCTGTCTGGATCGCCAAACTGGTTGTATCTGCCTTTTTCGGAGTGGTATCAAGCTGAGACTTTGCATCTACCAACTTCGGCATTGCATCTGTCTGTGTCTGCGTAACTTCACATTCCGGTTTTAGGTCAACCTGAAGCTTTTTGCCAATGAGCTGCGTTGATAGCGTCTGGATGTCGACATTCTGGGAGCTGATTTGAGGTTTAATACTCTCGCAAACCGAATCAACATGAGTAGGGTACATTGTCTGAGAAGTTGTGGTTGACATTTCGGTTGGGGTAAAGGTTGAGCATATCAACTCATCTTTGATGCTAATCAACGTTTCAGCCTTTAACATGATATTGCATTCAACATCCACATCCTTTGTATTCTTAATTGGCTGCAAGGCAACTGACCTTGTTTCTACACCATATTCAGCCTGAGACCAAGAATGTTTTAGTTCCGTTCCCACTTGGGTATAAACTTCAAGCGTTGGTAGCTTTGTGTCCGTCTGGATCGCCAAACTGGTTATCTCTGCCTTTGTCGGAATGGTATCATGCTGGGTCTTTGCATCTACCAACTTCGGCATTGCATCTGTCTGTGTCTGCGTAACTTCACAGTCCGGTTTTAGGTCAGCCTGAAGCTTCTTGCCAATCAGCTGTGTTGATAGTGTCTGGATGTCGACATTCTGAGAGCTGATTTGAGGCTTGATACTTTCGCAAACCGAATCAACATGAGTAG